TGGATAAAAAGACGAGCACCCTGCTTCGAACTTATCAATGGGGAATTATACAAGAAAACGTTCGACGGACCATACCTCATGTGCTTACTGCCGGACCTAGCTGCAGTAGTCATGGAGGAGATTCATGAAGGCATCTGCTCCAGTTACCAGGGGCCACGGACCTTAGCAGGGAAGATCATCGTGCAGGGGTACTACTGGCCGACCATCCAGCGAGGCTGTTTCAACCACACCCAGAAGTGTGCAGTATGCCAGCAGTACGCACCTATGCCGACAAGGTCGGCTAGCTTCTATACCCCGATGATCGTCGCCTTACCCTTCGTGAGATGGGGAATAGATTTGCTAGGATCTCTACCTAGGACGACCGGTGGCAAGAAGTTCATCATTGTGGCCATCGATTACTTCACCAAGTGGGTAGAGGCTGAACCGCTGAAGAATATCTCAGAATTCCAGTGCCATCGTTTTGTCTAGCAAAACATCTTATGCCATTTCGGCATCCCAGAGCAGATCATCACAAACAATGGCCGGCAGTTCGTCGACAAGGGATTCGAGGCATACCTAGCCAAGTGGGGCATCAGACACTCCGGGGCTTCGGTGGCATACCCGCAAGACAACGGCCATGTAGAGAATATGAACCGGACCATCATGGATGGCATCAAGAAGAAGTTGGAAGACTACTCCTCAACCTGGCCGGAACAACTTAATTACATCTTGTGGACATACAGGATAACCCCGAGGACAGCAACCGGGGAAACTCCTTTTGCTTTGACGTACGGCTTCCAAGCCAAAGTCCCCACTGAGGTACTCGTGCCTACACACCAGACGTTGCATTTTCAGCCGGAACAAAATGAGAAGAACCTGCGAGCTGAGCTCCATTTCATCGAAGAAAGGAGAGACCTGGCCGCACGGCGCATGGAGGAATACCGCCGGGCAACCGAGAGATATTTCAACAAGGCAGTCAGGGTCAGGGAAATCAATGTTGGGGACCAGGTGCTGCGAAAGCAAGAGAAGAGCAAACCGCTCGAGGGCGGTAAGATGGCCAAAAACTTGGAGGGGCCGTACAGGGTCTACAAGAAACTTTCCTGGGGGACGTTCCTCCTCCAAATCTTTGATGGCCGAGACACCGGCATGTGGAACGTGGAGCACTTGAAGAAATTCTATCAATAAACTCACTCAAAATTCCTTCCACTCTTAAAAAGGGGAAGAGGGAGACATAACTCCCGGAGAAGGGGAATCCCCGAAGTGGACAAACCCGTTTCCCGTCACAATCGCGACCTAGCTCAGCTCAGGATTCAAAGGACCGGGCTAAAGGGCGGGTAAGACGAGCGGATGGCGAAACAAAGGAAGGGGAATCCCCAAAGGGGATAAACCCGTTTCCCGTCACAATCGCGGCCTAGCTCAGCTCAGGATCCAAAGGACCGGGCTAAAGGGCGGGTAAGACTAGTGGATGGCGAAACAATGGAATGGGAAATCCCCAAAGGGGATAAACCCGTTTCCCGTCACAATCGCGGCCTAGCTCAGCTCGGGATCCAAAGGACCGGGTTAAAGGGCGGGTAAGACGAGCGGATGGCGAAACAAAGATAAGCCCAAAAAAAGATACCCTTCAGCCTTGTAATCGTTTCCGGTGAATAAACACTCTTTATTGGGCCCTCTCCTTGCTTGTTCTTCATCCCACTTGTCCATCATCCACTCGAGATCCTTAGGTTACGTGTTGGGCCTACGGGTTGAAGGAAATAAACCTCAACAGATATAATAGTAAAAATCATAAATTTTTTATACTTTTTTCATTTGATAAAAAATGGGCTAAAATAAAGTTTTGTTATTTGTGTAGGCACTATGAACTAAAAATTTGTATTTCATGTTCGTTTAGTCCAAAAAACTCTCAAGGTTGGAACTTCAATTTTTTTACATTATATTTGAAATATTGGTGGCATATGATCATAAAGTGTTATAGATTTAAATATATCTTTTGTAAATATTGTAACATAATTAAAAAGTTACTCCGTATAACACTTTTTTTAAATGCGGGTCCCGTTTTTTGACCGCAACCCAATTTTTTCTTCCGCTCACTTTTTCCTTTTTTCTTTCTTGTTAGGCCGTAAACAAGCCTTTTATATTTAGCTCTCCCCAACCCTTTTTTCAAGGGGTGTTGATAAACAAACTCAAACAGGAAAGCTGGACCTACTAGATCAGAAAAATCAAAACCAGACTGAACTGAAATGCAATGCAGTCCGATTTTCAGTTATGAAAAATTCCAATTCTGATTTCAGTTAATAACTGGATTATTCTAGTTTGAACCTGATTAAACTAGTTTTACTATATTTGAAAATATATCAATTAATACTTTAATATAAAATAGTGGTAAGATAATATAAATAATAATAACTATCTAAATAAAAATGATTAAAAGATATATTATCTTAATGTTATATTCATCCTTTATTCTTAGAGCATCTCCAATGCTACAATGCACAGTGCACATGTGACATGAGAGAGGTAGACACAAAAATTTGATTTTATGACATTTCTCTCTCATTCTTTCCACAGTCTTATGTGTTTTTGGTAAGTTTTTCTCTACAATGTCAAACACAATGTCTATATCTAGACATTGTGCTTGACATTGTGAAGAAAAACTTACCAAAATGATTCAAGATCCTTCAAATAAGGAAAGAGATATTCTATTTATTGTTTTCTAATTGGCTACATCTCATGACACGTATGCAACGTTAACGTTTTAGCATTGGAGAAGCTCTTATTGTCTTCATAAAATTTATTATTTTAGCCTTAAATTACTCCAATTTCCTCTCTCTATAACCGATGAAAATAGGTAAGTAACGATCAAATGGTAAGAGCATCTTTAGTGGAAATATGGATTGCAAGCCACAAAAAATTGACACGTAATCTGAATAAACGGTCTTTGAAGATGATATGGAAGGACAACCATTTACAATCAGGTTGCATCTCCAATGGTCTGTTGAAGAACTGCGCATTACGGAGTATTATAATTTATAAATGTGTCCGGCAGAGAAGTAATGTACTCCGTAGAATAAAGATTTGCTGACTTGGCTGTTAGATAGCCTTGCTGAAAGTAGAAGGTCGGGTAGACAACCGCTCCAGTTTTTAATTCCAACTCAGCAATGCAAGATGAATGCACATTTCCGTTGGAGTAAGTAAGTTTATCTCAGGGTCTCTATACCTGACGTGGCAATTCATTTTCTAAGGATCCACACCCCCACTACGGATCTAAAAACGTGTGGAATGCCACATGGCAGCAATAAATGTTGGTAGGACTGTACTAAAGTACAAGTTGAGATTTTGGTGTACCTTTCCCACTACCGTCAAAGTCGGACTTCTGGTCACTTATAAATACATCACAGGTTTACACGTACTAGATTTACACTCATGTGATGCACTGGACATAATTTAGCAAAAATTATATATTATTGAATGTAAAATAATATAGTATTAATAGGTTTTAAAAAATAGAATGCATGAACATACTAAAAGAAAATAAAAATATTATAAAAGATATATTGTCAATGCATATTGTCAATAAATATAATTATGAAAGATATATAAGATAGGGTACAAACCAAATATTATATGGAGTGGTGCATATATATTAAGATATGAAATAATAATTCTACAATATATTTATTATTATACTAAAACTTTAGCAAAATCGAAGAATACTCAAACGTGAATACTCATTTTAAAACAACACTCATGATTTTGATTATTTCATTATTCAGAGTTCGTTTGGTAACACTGAAATTGGCTGAATCGGCTAATTCTGATGCAATTTATGAAGTTGTGACTGAAGTGGTTGTATTGACTTATTATGTTGATTTATGAAAAAAATTATATTTAAAATATATTTTACTAATAAAATAAAGCAAAAATCATATGGAAAATGAGCTAATACAGCCAGAAAAGTAACTCCAACCGTACTTTTTCTTATTATTGCACAATCCAGCGAGCAAAAACAAAAGCTACGTGTTTGGTTAAAAAGTTGGCTCATAAGCCTGATAAGCCGAAAAACAGATTCACCAAACGTGCTCTCAAATGGTCTTTTCTAGTATATTTACACACTCAGCGCAACATGCACATTTCTGTAATTGATTATCATCCTTTTAATGTGACATTGTTTCAGCGCTTAATACTTTACGTCATACAATTGTGCTAAGTCACCTTGTGGTTCAATACTATTTAAAAGTTAAAATCATAAAATCATAACTATTCACGTTTTAGAATGTTTTTACGCTTTACTTCACTTTTCATGTTATCCGTGCACTTTATATTGTCAACACAACTGCATGTTTTTAATTGGACTCTCAATTTTCTAGTCTGGTCTGATATAGTTTAATTTGCACCGGTCTGATCTATATTGATAGTTTGTAACCATTCATGACTTATACCGATACATTTTATTTTGGGCATTTTCATTTTTCAAGTCTTGAATTGATGTTTCGTTTATCTTTGATTGATAAATTTTCTTTTAACAACATAGTCTATTTAGTACATAAGTCATTTTCACAATTTAATATGCCTATTTCAACTCATTTGAATCCCACAAAAACTCATTTGAATCTTATTTTACTAAAAAAAAACTAATTCGAACCTTCATAAAAATTATAATTGTTTGTGAATTATACTTGGCTTATGATTTTTGAATGACAAAATAAGTAATAATCTGAATAAACTTTTCAAATTTTATCATGATATCACATTAACTGTTTAATGTTATCCTTGTCGTTATACTCCGGGTAAATTTTCCAATTTACTCATATTTTCTGAATTAGGGTATTTGATCAACATAATTATGAAGTTTCATTACATAGTTTTGATTTAATTAAAATGAAGCCAAGTGACCAATCCATTGAAAATTACAAATTCTTATATTTGGGCTGCTAAACCATAAATTTATGATATGGGCTATTAAATATGAATTTTGTATCCATCAAAGACACAGCCCAATCGGCCTGTTTATACGTGGTTTCAGACTTTCAGGCTTTCAGAGTCTAGGCAAACCATATCAACGCTGCGCCTCCACGCGTTCTCCCCCAACACCATCGGTGTCGGCAATCACCTCTACGTACACCACCGAAATACTCCTCCCATCCAAAACTTTTGTCCGACTCTAGCCTAAATAAACATTCGACAGCAGGGGGCAGCACCCTTGTACCACAATCTGCTATTCGTTGAGTGTCGACGATGCTGAGAGAAACGGCGGTGCGGTGAAGATGCTTAGATAAGCAGCAATACGGCGAGAATGCTAACAAAAGCGGCTAAACAGGTGGAATATTCTCTAAAGGTGCGATTCGGTCCATACTTACAATTTTTGGGTGTGTTCTTCGAAATAAATACTCAAAATTAGGCTAATCTACTCTTGGATTTCGTTTTTACTTCACTGCTACCGTATTATTTTTTTTTTGTTTAAATTCATTGATATTGAATTTATATTTCTCAAATATAGTTGTAAACGTTTTAAAATATCTTGTTATTCAAATTTGCACGTAGACTTTAAATCCAATATTACTTCAAACTCCATTCATTGTTGTCTGTTTTCTGACATATGTTTCACTTTAGTTAAAACAGATTTTTATGTTACAATTGTTGTTTTCAAAATATATAAAAATTCTTCTTACTAATTGGGTGTTCTTATGTATTCATTTAGGGCATATTGACTTAGCTTAGGCCAATTGTGGGTTATGCATACTCAAGCACAGAATTCTTGAATTTCTAAGATAAGTTATATTTTGACATACATACCCAAAATATTATAACATCTTTAATGTATATTTAAAGGATGTTGGTTTTTTCAATATAGTGCTTTAGAAGATGGTCAAAGACTCAAAGGTAAAAAATAACAGATGTACTATATCCATTTGTAATGTGTAAGTCGTTTTTTCTTCCAAACAGTTTAATACAATGTAATAAGTTCCTGTTTATTTTTTTGGATATCTTAAATTCGAAGTTCAGTAACTTCAAGATCTTGTCTGCGGGTGGTCATACATGGTGTGTAATGCAATGTTTTCATGTTTCAAATGAAAAATTATTCGAATGATGCAAGCTTGTTTAATGATGTCAAACTTTGGGCAATTATTAATACTTTAATAAATATAAAATAATATCTTAAATGTTTATAATGAAAAAATATTAAAATTCATGATAATTTCTTTCAATCATTCGGGTCATGTTTGACACATCTATCTTTCAGGTCTGTGATTGATAATATGACTACATGAGTATTATTTTATTACGGAGTAATTAATACTACATGATAAGATGATAGTAAATGCTCCAACTTAAAGTTTGCTATGAATTAAACACGTAATATTTCATTGTTTTAGTAATGGTTTTAATTAGCTTAACAGGTTCTATAATAACAATAATAATACGGACTAATTCTTTAGCTAGTTAATAATGTTTCTAAGTATGGTCTAAAAGGTGATCGATGATACTCCGTATTTGATACTCCGAATTACCAAAGATATGGGCATATATATTGTGTACTCTATATCGTTTGTATTGTTTTAAATTAAAACGGGGAATAAATGCTACTGCATAATACAAAGTATTTTTCTGAAGATGCACTTTCTTGGTTTCAAAATTTCTAACATCATTATATTTGTGAATAGAGGTCGGTACACTTGATTTGTGTCAATACACTTTATGCATAAGAAATTGTACATTACTCTTAAAAAGGGGACCATAATTTTCACGTTACTTTTCTACCCTTACACCGTCAAAGCTTAAACTAACTCTTCCCATCATGTCTTTACCATAGCACGTTAAAACCTTCTCTACTTAGTATGTATGTAGTATTACTTAATTAGTTCATGTTGGCCGGTTAGCCCACAAAGATGGTGTGGATATCTATTGGTCGTCACCGCCACCCGAGTGGGTTGCTCTCAATTCAGACGGTTCGTTATTCCTGAGACCGGACGAGCAGCCGCAGGAGGCTTGTTCCGTGATTCCGATGGACGCTGTTTAGCAACCTATTCGATGAACTTGGGGATTTGCTCAATCACCAGGGCGGAATCGAGAGCGGTTGTGACAGGTTTGCAGATTGCTTGGGAGAGAGGATATTGTCGTGTACGAGTGCAGCTAGATTCGAGTGCTGCAGTTCACCTACTATTGAGTGACGGCGAGCTCACAAACCAGAACTCTTTTGAGGTCGCCAGTTTTCGTGGGATGTTGGATCGAGACTGGATGATCAAAGTTGAGCATATATATCAGGAGGGCAATCGGGCTGCCGATTTCTCGGCTGGCCTAGGCCATAGTTTACCTTTTGGTGTTCACTCTATATGGATGATCCTACTTTATCGCTACACATTTTGTATGATTTGTTGGGGTTTCTCAGCCTCGATTGATTGTGAATGAAAGATAGGTGCTGATGCGCCTATGGTTTTACCTAGGGATGGACTCGGGTCCGGGCCGGGTCCGGGCCGGGTCCGGGCCGGGCCTAGGCCCGGGCGGGCCGGCGGGTCAGAAATGGTGGACCCGGGATCGGCCCGGGTAACCACCGGGTCCGGTCTGGGTCTGGGCCGGGCCGGGCCGGGCCCATTATATTTTTTTTTTGTTTTCCTCTTCCTAATTAGCCCCCTCCCACCCCCAACCCCCCAAACCACCCCAAATGGCTCAAAATACCCAGCCCAAACCGAAAACTTAAAAAAAATTGAAATAAAAGAAAAAAAAAATAGTTTTTGGCCCGAACCGGGCCCGGCCTTGTTTTGGGTGACCCGAGCCCGGACCGGAAAACCCACGGGCCGGGACTACCCGGACCGGTCACTGACTGGGCCACTGGGTCGGGCCGGGCCGGAACAGTACCGGTCCCGGGCCGGTTCCGGGTCGGGCCACCCGGCCCGAGTCCATCCCTAGTTTTACCAATAAAGGACTCTGATTATTCCATGTCTCTCTCTCATTTAAATTTAATGAAAGTTCCTTATTAAGATGATGAGCTAAGTTAATACCATATCCATATCTATAGGTCAACAATCACAATTAAAAGTAAAACTTATATTTTCAAAAAGTCATTCATTATAAGATCCTTAGAGCATGTTTAGCACACACTTGAAAATATACTTTTATGAGCTTTTTAATAACTATTACTACCTTCGTCCCCCCTGTTATTGTCTCATTGTGGTTTACGATACTTGACTGACGATAAAGTAAATAGATCCTTGTCCACACTAGAATTATTTTTTTAAAAAAAAATTGCATATTCAGAAAATTCATTAAAAGTTTTACAAAGTCGCAAAAATCAGAATCAAATTTGATAAATATTTGATAAATAAAGTAAGAGATTAAGAGTGATTTGTTTTGACCAAGTGAATATGAAATGAGACAAGTACAGGGGCGGAGGGAGTAGCTTTTAGTGATTGAAAAAATCTTAAAAGGAAAACATTGTAGTTGTTTGATAAAAAGCTGACTGTTTGATTAGTTATGTTTGGTATAACAAAATAGTGTGACTAATTAATGCTAAAAACTACTGACTTTCTCCCACATGTTACTCATTGTAGCATCTAAAAAGCTGACTGTTTGATTACAAAAGTCAACATAAATTTGAGATAACATTAAGATAAATAAATTTGTATTTAGCAAATTTTAACACCTTCAGTCTTGCTATTGAACACATCTTACCTTTATTTTGAAACATTGATTTATAGAGTTAAATGGACTCATTTCATAAATTCATACATGAATAAAATTCATATTCATGATTTTGAAATGATTATAAATTTTGTTTTCTCAATTGGATCTTTATCAAGAAATTAGTTTTTGAGGTTTCCTGTATAATTTTTAAAAACCTTTTTTGCATTTTAGACTCTTTTAAATATTTAGTCGAGGCTAATATGAGAGTTAAAATGATGTGAATCTAATTATTTATATTTCAAAATATGTAGTTAAACTTTCTCAAAACAATAATTATCATGTTTGTGGTAACTAATAGCATATTTAACCCTTAGTAAAATTGACGTTAGCTTATTGTAACTCGTTGTTGTTCTCTGGTTGAATTGAATGGGGTTATTATAGATGATATCATTTTATATATTTTTCCATATCATTTTTCCTTTTTTCTTATTGAAATATATTTTAAATATAATTTTTCCATAATTCAGCAGATTCAGCGAATTCAGTCGTTTCAACCAATTTCAGTGTTACCAAACAAGCTCTATGTGTTGGTTTCAATTTCTTTCCATTTTTATGGCGAGTATTCTTTGGTGACGAACAAAAATTTACTCATGAATACTTTTAAAATATGAATGATTAATTCCATAATACAAACAACAACAACATCCAAACCTTAATTTAATTTTGTATGTATATCTCATTTGTGCTTGTATAGTGATTATATAACTTCATAATAAGCTAATTAACTCCAGATTTTACTCATGAATATATACTTTCAGTAGACTTATTGAATTCTAATATAATAAATATGGAGTTCTAAAGTTTAGAAAAGACTCTGATGGAGTTTAATCCAACTACGAGAGCTATATCTACGAGAGCAGATGAAAATATGGCAGCGTAAGGTAGTATTCTATTATCCGGAGTCGGTCCCTTGATAGGAAGTTTACATGAAGTATTTATAGACTATAGGAACTAGTATTCTAGAAGGAAACTGATACAATAAATGTCATTAATTACATGCTTAATCAAATTAGACTCCTGTAACGTCTTGGATGTTGGGCAATGATTGTTCCTTTAAGTCCACGTTCCTTTCGTTATTTGTGATTCCTAGTTAGGCCCAGCGGCTTAACATATTAATCTCATTTATGGGATGATCCCGTTAAGGGCTAATCTCGTTGAGTGTTTGATCCCGTTATGGACTTTATATGTAATTCCGTAATTGGGCCATGGCTGGAGTTCGTGGTACCATCGGACTATTAAAAATATTTTTAATTGGACTGCTTTTTTGGTGTCATATGAAAGATAATAAAAAAATATGAAATATGATTTAAAACGCTTTTAATTATACTTCTTTTTTTGGTGTCATATGAAAGATAAAAAAATTATGAAATATGAGTATATTTTTGTAACAATCAGAGTACAAATAAAAAAGTTATAACATTTAAAATAAACATGAAATTTTATTTTGGTGGGGTTCTAATAATATACCAAGGAGTAATAATCTACCTAAGAGTATAATAATACATGTAGGAGTCTAGGAGATATACGAATGAACTATGAAGGATTATTTTTTTTAAGGAAAACAATTGTATTGATATCATTAGAATCAGGATCGTTACAACAATCTCAAAATGATCAGAACTGACAACAACATTCACCTTCCAACTACTACTTTTAGCCCTACGATTAGACATAGAGATGACCACCCCTAAAGGAGCAATACGAATCGCTAACCACTAGACGGGCTTAATGCAGCTATTGCTGAAAAATAGATCTATCCCCCACTAACAATATCAAATCTAGCCGAACCCTCGATCAATGTAAAAAACCTATTACCATAATCAAATACCAAAAGCAAAACGATAGCAACGAATTTCTTCGAAAACAGATTAAAAATGGGGACAATGAATTTAAGCATGATGAACTTATTGAGCCGCTGAAACCAATATTCCAGCACGGTATTCCAACTCCTAATCACCCATTTCCAGCATGGCGGCAGTTCAGGAGGGGGACGGATATTCATCCCTTCATCTTCTTCCTTCAACACCCTTATCTACCCGTGATCCGCCTCCATCTCTTGGCCAACATACCGCATGAGCACAACCAGTCCAAACGCGAACAGTCTCCAGATCCCTATCATCTCCCATGTATTGCACCATGTGCTCCAGATGAGGAAAACAAGCAAAACTCCGGGACACTGAAGCACTAAGAAATAAAGCTATTGCGATGGAATAAAATAGAATTCCTGAGAGGATGACATGTCGCAAAAGTTTTATAAATTGTATCTAATGTATTATTTATAGATATAGATTTAAAATCAAACCAATCGCATATATACGTGTGCATATATATAGATTGTGTATACATGTATGCGTAGTTCTCTCATTTGTTTAATTCTATTTGGATTTGAAATGTTTAAATATGATATAATTTGAGTTTAAAATCATTATACATAAAAATATCTTTGCCTCACTGATAAAACAAAAGCAGTAATGTGAAATCACCTGATTATTGTTGGGTGTGTCTCGAAAAAATGTAGAAATATTAATTAATAAAAATTAATTAATAAATACAATAGCTAAAGAAAACAAAAATGAGAGGAGTAGAAATTAGTCAAAGCTTGTGTTACGCACAATGTCCTTAAAACGTATTCGTTGCCTCCCACGGTGCTAGGAGCGTTGCAAGAATCGTTTCCCAGGATACGATGACTACGAACTATTGTTTGAGCACACAAACAAAAGTTCCAGCAAACGAAAACAAGTATGAACACAGAAGGAAATTTTCAGAATGCTAGCAGCGTTTTTCGAGAGCTCAAAGTGCATGAGTTCGATTGTGACGGCATTCGTGTTCGCAGTCGCCCGGGCACACGAGTCACGGTTTTTCTTCTTCATTTTCGGGATTCGATCGATAACCCCCGCGCGCGAAGAGAGCCTTTCTCCGTAGGAATCTTAACTCCTTCAAAGAGGGTTCCCTTTATAAGGGGGTGAAAATCCCTTGGGTTTTCCGGTGTGGGATAAATCACACTAGAAACCCATCCTTTTTCCCAGTTTTTCCGTTTCAACGAGTGAACTTCGAGAATCAATTTCTCATTCACCCGTTATCCATTTTCAGTGTACTACATATCGAATTGTAGCCCTTAACAAGGAATATCCGAAACCACTTTGACCCAACCCAAGTCGGAAGTGGACCCCTCTCAAATAATTGTCCCAAAATGACCATTTAATGCAATTTTTAACACATTTTCCCAACGATTATACCCTAACCCCTTCATCCCCGTTCTTTTGCTCGATCATCTTCATTCCTTTTTTCTTCTTATGCTTTTTCGTGTCTTTTTGTTAATATGTCATCACCTCCCTTCTTTCTTTTTAATTGTTTTATTTAGTTTTCATTTCTTGTGTTCTCTTACATGTGTAAGGTACTAGGGTTATGGTGTTCTTTGTAATGCTCTAGGATCGATAGAACGAAGAAGATTGAAAGATAAATAGGAATTCTTACGTAAAGAAAAGAATTTGAACACATGCAGAAAGAAGACGTAATAGGGAAGAAGATCAAACCGTATTAAGAAATTCATGATCGTACACTTATTACAGCATGGGTTTATATACAGGGTGCCTACAACGACTCTAACGGATATGGAGGTAGGTATTTTGCAGAGCTTTCTCTCCCTCTTGGATAGATTGGGTCGAGCTGGATGAAGAGTGGAAGGAGGAGACTTTCCTCTTTTGTTTTTACTTGCAAATAATGAGGGGGAGGGAGCCCATCCATGTACCTTTATCACCAACCATCAACTTCAGCCCCCCCCTCTTGCCTCACAACCATGTTGTGAGGCCCCCCCCTTGTCAATTAGAGTACACAATTTCGTGGGGTGGCCCCCACTCATGTGGGAGGTCATCCCAATAAGTCCCAAACTGTGCAATCGGCCCCGAAAGTTGTATTTCTTGGACTGTTTTAATTATATCTTATTTTATCGGGCCAAATAAAATATGTTACACGTTCTAAATCACTATGGACCTTTAGAATGAATATACATTCACCAACTTTAATTTAGAAGTCACCGAAATTCATTTCGGGCTGTTATCCGATAAATTACCAATACCGGTAATTGGGCCTCATTTGACCAACGAGTCAACCCTATGCCCTTTCTATGGCCCAACTGAAATATATACCATCATATAATATTATCTAGACCAAGATGAATGTAATATGTGGTCTCGGGATTATCGGGTGGTCCCCGCTCCCGATGTGGGCCCCACGTGCAATTCACTATTCACACAAACGTAATAACAAAAATTTACAACCTCGTAAATTCATGAATCATTATTCAAGGTTTATTACATGATTTACTAAAAGTAAATATACTTGAGGACGGTGTTATAATTCCTCAGGTAATAGTTCACTCCTCTGTAGCAAAAGGCTTCGTAACTGTTCAAAATCATCCATGTAGTCATCTAAGGATTTAGTTTGCTGCATTTTTTTGAAGTTTTCTACCAGAGTACATCCTAGATCCTCATTGGATCTTGCACACAAATCCAAGACAAACTGTTCCCAAGACACACGTTTATGTACAGTATAAAGATGCAAGATCAACCTTCTGATTATGTTCAATAGTGCATAGCTCGAAATATTTAGCAAATTTCTGAATCCATTTCCGAGGACTATGACAGGCCAACGTAAGAAACTCTATTTTAGGAAGAAATCCATAAATCTTAGGTGAAATACCTGAACTCGATGGTAAATTTTGTCTCCGCGAACTTCTCTTCGTTAAGCAATTGTTGTTCGTCCAGCTTTCTTTCCAATCCTTGCACTTTGTCTTCCATTTTCTTTTATAATGAAGCTAGTCTCAACTTCGCCATGATGAATTCAGTCATTCACGAGCTCTGATACCAATTGTAATCCTCTAGGATCGATAGAATGAAGAACATTGAAAGATGTGTAGGAATTCTTGCGTAAAGAAAAGAATTCGAACACATGCAGAAAGAAGACGTAATAGGGAAGAAGATCAAATTGTATTAAGAAATTCATGATCGTACACTTATTACAGCATGGGTTTATATACAGGGTGCCTACAACGACTCTAACGGATTAGTTAGCGCAGCTGACTTACTAATCCGTTATATAACCATGCATACACGCAACTTCCACGTGCAAGATGATGTGTGCAACTCGTGGCAACGTTCCCATGGACCCACGTGGCCTTACTCCTTTGGATTATAACATTCTTTCTGTATTACTTTCTTTTTGTTGATTGTGTTGATCTTTTTTGCTACTTTCCCTGGTTTGATTGTTTTCCATAACCGCACATAAATACGCTTGGCGGATTTGGAAAAATCGAATGGTGAACTGTGATCGTGTAACTGTGTATTCCATCTAGGGATGGACCAGTACCTGATCATGGACCCAACCGGTTCGGCCCGCACTGGCCCAGTTGGTGCTAACCGGGCCCGGGCTTTTACCCGGTTGGAGCGGGTTGGGCGGGGTAGGCTCGGGCCACATTTTTCTTGAACCGGCCTGGGTTTTTTTTTCAATTTTTTGTTTTTCTTGGTTAGGGCTGGGTGTTTTGGGGGGTTTGGGGGGTCGGGGTTAATTAGAAAGCAAAAAAAATATAGAACCGGGGGCGTGACCCATACCCAATTTATACCCGAGGCGGTTCCGGTTCACCCTTTCCCAAAAAAAAAAGCTCGGCCCGGGTCCACCCCTACCAATACCGCTCGGACCGGCCTGGTACCCGACTCAGACTTGCCTGGTACCTGGCCCGGACCGACACTGTGCAGTACCGGCCCGGCCGGTTGACCGGGACCAGGACAGGGCCTTGGGCCCGAACCGGGAGAGTTTTGGGGCAGGTCACGGGCTGCAGCCCTCTTGGAACCGGCCCGGCCGGTCTGGGACCGGTCAGACCCAAAATGTTTTTTTTTTATTTTTTCGAATGGATTCGGTGGTAGGCGGGTTGGGCTAGGTGGTTTGGGGGTGTTTGCAGGTGGGGGTGGGGGAGTAGGAATAAATAAGAAAAACAAAATTTATTCTATATATATATATATATATATATATATATATATATATATATATATAGGCAGGTTCAAATACAAAGTACTACTTATATGAAAAATGAGAAGTAATCTTAGCCGTTAAAATGAGAAAATGAGTGGATCAGGTCAATTTTTAAGGGAAAAATTCGGTGCCAAATATGTAATTATTAAAAACTTTTTTGAAAACTAAAGTGACAAATGTGCATTACTACGGAGGAAAAGTGCATTAGACTAACAATAAAGTGCATCACTTCTCGGGAAAAACATAACAAGTATAAAGATCGTTCCTGATATTTTTTTACAAAGTGAATGTGCACCATTACATATGCATTTTTGCTATTATGTATTACACATTTTGGTTGATCGTGAGTTTTGATCTATACCATCCATTTTTAAGTAATCAAGAGCTTAGATTACTTCTCACTTTTCATGGGAAGACCTCTTTGTATTAGAACTCACCCCTATATATATATATAGGCAGTGGCGGACCCACTAAGGGTCCCAAGGGGTCCCGGGACCCCATGCACCTCCAAAAAAATACCTATATATATTATATATATTATTTAAAATTAAATATTCAATGTATATTTACACACAAAACAATTTCAAAACCAAAAGAACGAAGCAGCGGAACGGGAGCTTGCGTGGATTCAAGGTATCTATGTTGCGGGAGGTAGCATGTTCGAATCCCGTTGGAATTTTTTTTCAGCTTTTTTTCTGTGGAAGGCCCAACCGTGGAGTCTGCGATTCCCAGCCCCCCTCTTTTCCTTAGGCCCAACTGGAACTTAGGCCCAAAACAAAACAAAAGACCCAGCCCCCACTTTTCCTTTCACGCTAGTCTGCGATTCCCCCAAGCCCCCAACTCCGAAGCTGCCGAACTGCCCAAGCACGACCAACTCGTTGGCTCCCTCCACCTCTTACCACCGTGACCGCCGGCCGAGTGCCTCAGTGCTGACGAGGCGATGACCACCAGCTCACCAAGGTACTCTTCTCTTCTTTTCTCCATTAATGATGTTTCTCAAGCTTTTTGGTGTGATTTTTGTTATGCTCAAAATTTAGGATTTTCAATTTCTATGTTTAAATTAAATATACCAAAACTACGTCGTTCTTTTAATTGCTTTTCTTTGCATCTTTTTTTAATGTTAGATTAAATTAATAAATTCATGTACTTATAAATGTTAGTTTTCAATTTTATACGATTTAGGATTAAAAGATATTAAATTGGTACTATTAGTGATGATTCTATTATAGAATATTTCCAACAAATGAAGCTTAGGAGGGTACATCAATTGTTGAATGACTTTTATATATAACTTTTTGCTTTATAATATATCTTAATATTTTGATGGTGTACATTAACTTTGAAGTGTTATACTTCTTTAATATTTTTTTTATTAGTTTTACATTAATGAGAGATCAGAGATATATAGGGTAGGGACCCCGTGGCTCCGATTTTCTGGGTCCGCCACTATATATAGGGAATGGTTCAGGTGAGAATGATCTCTCATGAGAGAAAAAAGAATGAAATCCTACCTTCAATTTTTCCTATCTGATGGCCAAAACAATTCGAAAATTAAGTGAGAGACATGCATGATTTACGGTATAGTCACCCTCTAAAATAGGTTTCCATTGATCTTAATATTTATTAAGGGCATCATGGTAAAAAAAAATCATGATGGTTATCACGCATGATGCATCATAATAGGAAGTCCTCCTAAAAAAGTGGATAGTAATTCATACGGATCAACTTCTTTACTTCTCCATAATTGGCATCATTTATTATAAAAAATACTTTCTCTTATTTTATTTTATTTCCAAATTTAGGATATTCTGAAATATAATTTAGATAAATACTTTGAACAAAAAATTCTTTTGTAATTCGTGCATTAATTTTCTTAGTATTCCTTTTTTTTCAAATGTAATATTCATCAATGAGATCAACATTGATTTATTTATTGCATTCCAACATCTAAAGGATGCACTTTTATTCGAAACTTTATATAACATCAATTCACTTAAAAGACATATTAGGTTTAGAAGTGCAGTTATTGTAATCTAAATGTACATTTTATTAGTCTTCTCAGATACAATATTCATCCACCTAATTTTGTATATTTTCAGTTCAACGTTGAATAAATGCATTTCGGTCGAAATATAATGCAACATCAATTAAATTAAATATTTGGTTATTTTTTCAATCTCAAGAGAAATGAGATGTTTATTGACTTAATTTACATTGTTCTAAACTGTACTTTTATGTTTTTGGTTTTGACTTTTTATAACATTAATCTACACTTTACACATGCAGTTGTGCACTTCTGTACATATTTTTAATAAAATTCGATATATAAATATAACAAGAGTGTAGGCTATCAAATGTCACGTGTATATTAGATGTATACGAAAGTACACTATTATATTAGATTCCATGAAGCTCTATATTCACACACTTCTACAAAATAAAATGCACTTTTATCGTGTGCATTTCAAATATATATAAAAGTGCACTATTATATACGATAATATTACACTTTCTAAAACTTCACATCAGCAATTTTTACATAATGAAATGCACTTTTCTGCCAAAAGCATAATACTTGTTCCTCTATGATGGTGTCTTCCAATAATCCAATGTCTCTAATCTGATTTCGCAAAAAAAAAAGTGAAATTAAAAACTAATGAAATGTGCACGAACAAAGTATGGCAAATGCATGAGAAGTTCAATAGAAAATTTACTAGTGTTTAGTATTGTATAAAGATTGATAGCTATGGTGTAAGTTATCCATAATAAACACATAAATGCATTTGAAGGCAATGTAGGTGCACTAATTAATGATTATAAGTGCAAATCCACAAGAAGATAAAATTACACTAGTCAAATCCACAAACTTAAAATTGTGCAATAGTAATATGTAAAAGTGCAAGAACAAACCTCTACTATTGCATCCAATTCAATATCTAGCATTTAAATATCTCTGAAATTATTAAATGCCAAACCAAATTAAGATAAAATTAAAACACCCGTGAGTGCACCATTATCAATCACTAAAATTTGAATAAACCATCAATGAATAAGAATGAACAATGAACAAAGTGGATTAAACAAGCACTTGATTTCTAGGGAGAAAATGTATGTTATTAAGGCAAAATGACAAACTAAATTAATAAATATCACCAACTAAATTATTTTACTAGTGTGGTGGAAATGGTGTATTATTTGGAGAAAGCCAAATCAAAAACAAAAGTAATTGAATTCAGTTTTATTCTTCAAATTACCCGGTTTATATTCTCTTCTGTTGCACCCCTTCGATTCAGTTTTGGAACTGCAACCATATTACATAGATAAGGGTCACAGTTTAACAAAACTGAAAGCCCAGACTCATAAGTTGAAGAAGCTATCCTCCGGTTTAATCTTCGGCCAGAATTTTCAATCGACGTTGCTCCAATTGCCGTTCTCATATAGTGGAGATCTCCATCCATGACTGGATTTCCGCCCTGAAATTTCAAACCCCCTATTAGACAATGATCGATATGTCGGATAATGAGCCTAAAGACTAGGAACGTGAATGGAAAGAAGGAAAATGACTATTAAAGCCCTACTCGGAAATAAGGAATAAGTAAATAAAAAATCTGATCTAAGGGTTATTATTTATTCTCATTTCTCTTCTAAGATGGTTTTCTCACTTGAACCTAAATATATATATATAGCATTTTGTCTATCGGTGAATAATTTTTCCAATCTGTAATTTTTTCAATTTTACTCAAGGGTTGATTCATTATCTGGTTATTTATTAGATCATCTTTTTCATTTTTTATTACACTCGGGTGTATTGTTCTTGTTTCTTTTGAACTTGTGTTTTTTTTTTTAAACTTTTTTAAAAATTTAATTTTTACTTTTACAAATTTGTAAAGTTCCTTAAAAACATGCTCAAAAAACGAAGGTTTTTGTCGTGGATGACCAAAAGGGTGTTCTGTTTCCCTTCCCCAAACTGTTAAAAAACATATATATAGGGGATGGTTCAAATACAAAGAGATCTTCCCATGCAAAGTGAGAATTAATCTTGTGTATTCATTTTCAGATCTAATGACTCAAAATGAGCCAAAAGTGAACTAAATTTGATCAAAAATGCGGTGGCAATTTCGTAATTAAAATGGAGTTTTTCGCCATCGTGAAAAAGTGCAACAGAAACACGCAAAAGTGCAACGCGGTGAGGAAAAAGTGCAATCGTTCACACTTTGCACGGGAGAACCTCTTTTTATTTGATCTCTTCCTTATATATGTGTGTGTGTGTGTGTCGGACTAGGAGCTCCACTAGCCTTGACCGTGGGAAATTGACTAATGAAAGATAAAGAAAGAATGACGTAGGTAGACTAACTATAAGTAGTAGGAGTACCCGTCGAGAAAGAGAGAGTCATTCTCCTGTCCAGCAGATTTCTGTCCAAACGTCGTCCGAACACCGTCGTTTAGGGTGGTTACCGGCGGAATTTATTGATGAACTTTTTTTATCATGTTCTTTATCAAGTCTAGTTTATCCATACCAAATTTCAGCTCACAATTCGATCGGGAAGTCAGTCAAATAATTCGTTGAAGTTAACTGCGTTTTTCTATGTATAATTTGGCGTAGTTAACTTCAACGAATTATTTGACTGCCTTCCTGATCGAGGTTTGAGCTGAACTTTGGTATGAATAAACTAGACTTGATGAGGAACATGCTCAAAAAATTTCATCAAAAACTTCCACAAGGAACCGCCCCAAACGGCGGTGTTTGGACCGGGAGGTGCTAGACCTCAGAATTTTCCTATATATATATATATATATATATATATATATATATATATATATATATAGAGAGAGAGAGAGAGAGAGAGAGTAATATTCATGTGCGGCCGGCCTAACCAGAGAGGCCGTCCGGCCGACGGCGTTTGGCCGGCTTCCCGGTGGATTTTTTTGTTGAAATTTTTATGGCTTGTTCTTCATGAAGTCTAGTTTATTCAACAAAAAATTCAGCTAAAAACTCAATCCGGAAGTTTTCAAATAATTTTTTGAAATTAATTGTGCAAAATTACACACAAAAAACGCAGTCAACTTCAAAAAAACATTTGAAGACCTTACGGGTTGAGTTTTTAGCTGAATTTTTTTGTGGATAAACTAGACTTGATGAAGAACATTCCATAAAAATTTCTACAAAAAATTCCACCTAGAAGGCGGCCAAACGCCGTCGGCCGGACGACCCCTCTGGTGCGTCCGGACACACCAGAAAACTACTATATATATATACACACACACAAATATTCAGGTCAGGTATTCCGGACCAAAACCGGAATATGCATAACTTTAAACTTCAATGTGCAGTAAAAATAATGTAAAGGTGCAGGGGTGGGATCACATACAAACTAATCCTCCCATTCAAATCATCTTCTTTACATTATTTGTATTGAACATTGAAGTTCAAAGTGTTTCATATTATTGAAGTCATAAAATAGCAGTTTCATATTTACATTATTTGTATTGCATATTGAAATTCAAAGAGTGCATCTTTACATTATTTGTACTGCATATTGAAGTCCAAAGTGTTGCATATTATTGAGTTTGTAGTTTAGTAAGTTAAGCACTTAAGCATGGTTTGTATGTGATCTCACCCATCTATATATATATATAGAAAAATTCTCAGGTCCAGCACCTTCCAGTCCGAACGACATCCGAACACCGCCGTTTGGGGCGGTTTCCGGTGGAATTTTTTGATGAAATTTTTTGAGAATGTTCCTCATCAAATCTAGTTTATCCATACCAAATTTCAGCTCCAATTCGATCGGGAATGCAGTCAAATAATTCGTTGAAGTTAACTGCGTTTTTCTATGTATAATTTGGCGCAGTTAACTTCAACGAATTATTTGACTACCTTCCTGGTCGAATTTTGAGATGAAATTTGGTATGAATAAACTAGACTTGATGAGGAACATGCTCAAAAAAATTCATCAAAAAATTCCGCCGGAACCGCCCCAAACGGCGGTGTTCGGACGGCGTTCGGACAGAAAATTGTTGGACAGAAAAATGACTATATATATATATATATATATATATATATATATATATATATATATATATATATATATATATTAGCCCAACCCGACCCAGGCCCACCCCGGTCCCGGAACCTACCCGGGTCGGTACCAGGCCTCCAACTCCCAAGCCCAATCCCGCCCAAGGCCCGACCCGGACCCGGTCCCGACCCAGGCCCGGCCCATCCCTAAATTTTCATCGGCATCAATAATATAGCCAACTTTTGTGATAACAGCTCTACCCCAAACCCTGCAGTAACATACTACGTAGCATTTTAGAGCTTCTTTTGGCAATAACACTGGTCTGTTATTCAGCATGACAGAACCATTATGATGAACGTTAGTTGTTTTCCTCTAAATGACAATGTTACTTTGGAAATTGGAAGTAACATCATATCTCTTCTTCTATGTGGCCGGATGATATCAGGATGACAATGTTATTATTAGAGGATTAGATTCCAGTGTCCAAATGGTCTTGTTTGTGTATAGTTTTATATTTTACTCCTGTTTGAGAACTTACCTTCGTTTACTCTTAAATTATACGGAGTATAACTCACAGACCCGTGTCATGCTTTTGTTTGGGGTTTTTTAAAAAATTCACCCTTGGTACGGACTCCAGTACAAAAGATTCTAACACATAATCATTTATCATCAACAGTCAACCGATACACAACTCACTGCCAAATTGGCTCAAGATCTGTCATCAACTAAGTTTACAGGCCTGAAGACAGAATAGCCTTGGAAATACACCGACACAATCGTAAAATTCTCAAGTAACCTGGTTCGACACTCTTGATTGCATCTTCAATACCGCCAACAACTGATTCGTCACAATTTATCCCATTAGCTCGAGTTGCCCACACATATGGGATAGTCTCTGAGGGATAGGTACCTCTGTATGAAACAAAATACAGACAGTGCTCATCAACAAGCACTACTCTACTACTATTACTGGGCTTATCACTATTCACCATAGAGATAGGACAGCTAGGCCCAGTTGAGAATTTAGAACACACTAGAGAATGAAAATAGAGAGGAAAGTATATGAGAAATTTGGAAGGAAAGAAATACGGAGTATCAAGGATAATAAAAATCACTGATTCAAACTCAATAACTTTTTTATATGTTTGATCATGTTCATTGTTTTATTCATTTCTATTACTTAAATACTAAGCAATTCATAATATGTAAAGCTAAATACAAATATAAATCATATTTCATTTCCCTTGCATTTTCTGAGATAAATCCATACAATAAAAAAACAATTGCAGCTAGCATTTTCTTTTCTTGGGATTTTACACGGTTCAAACACCCAATCAGGATGGAGTGTATGATCTTCCATAGCCGCATTGAGCATTCACATGAACCAAACAAAAAACAACATACCTGTTCAAGAATGATAAGCCAAGTCTCACTTTCACCTTGATGCCACTCTTAAAACTGATGAAGTTAAGATGCAGATCAAGTTCTTCATCTGCATACATCAAGTTAGAAGTTACTAATATCCAAGCCTGATATGTTGAAAAGAAAAGCGTTATTATGAATATACATATACAATTAGTCCATCACAATAATGACACATTAACTATTTACTTTTTCTATCGTTTCTTACAAAATTTAAAACAAAATATGTAAATTATCAAATACTTCGTACATACTTTCTCTATTGTTTAATAGTTGCAAGTTTGCAACACTTTGACTTTTACAAAATTTACATACTCTACTTTTACTACATTTTATTTATTAATGTATCAAAAAACTGTCATAAAAATATTATAAAATTTGACTCAAAAAAATATATCTCAAAAATAAGATTATATTAATCCGTATTATATTTACCTACAGCCAGTCAAATAGATTAATGATCAAAGCCGTGCTTGGTATGATTGGAAGTAATATACGAAGTATGATTTATAAAAGTTTATCAGACTAGATATTTGAAAAAGTACACATAATGTAGGTCCACATGTCAGCTGATATTATACTCCCTCCGGTCCCGAAACAACTTCACACTTTCCTTTTAATATAAAGTTACCCTTATACCCTTACTTTATTACCTACTTTACACCCACTTTCTCTCTCCCACTACACTTTATCTACTTTTTGGGGGGACATAATGAGAAAGTCAAAACAAAAAATTCCACTTTCTTAAAAACCGTAAAGTCAAACTATGAAGTTCTTTTGGGACCGGAGGGAGTATATTAAAACTAAAGTGAAAACATCTATTATAATGAAAAAGTTCACTGATTACCAAGTTGATGTCTAAGATACTAAAACAAATTATCATCCTGTAACATCTGGGTAACTGAAAATAGTTCCAATAAAAGCTATGGGACAACAAACTTTATTTTTTATAGCATGTTCAATGAATTTGCAAGAGCAAAAATTCGAAACTCAGCATGAGGGATGAAGGGAATACCCTTAGAAGAGCAAAAAAGAGTATCAATGAGATTGTGAAGCTCACTCCGTGCTAGCTGTACCTCCTTGATCACATCAACCAAATTGCCTAAAAGGGACTGAGTCACCTGCACAGAAAGTACAACATTCTTGTGACCACTTATATACTCATTAATCATTACATTTTTTATGGTAAACTGCAATCATTTAATTAATAAGATCATTCACCAATTGGCTGACAATATAATGAGGAGCAATAGAATAATCATGATCAGCATCTGACTCAGAACCAGTTGCTTTAGCTAAGAAAAATACAGCCTGGTTCACCGAACGCTTACAATAATAATACTCTAAACATAGCATTTTCAGTCTCTAAACAATAAAAATCTGATATCTTCCAGAATCAACTCATGATAGGACCCCCCCCCCCCCCGCTCTGAATCTCTTGAACCACCACAGGGAGATCCGACTCAGCCACCACTCTCACAATCTGATCGAATTGCCCAAAGTAAAGCTGCTCTAATACCCCAAACCTCGGTCTCTCTAGGAATCCACTCCGCTTGCCGACTCTCTCTTCTCCCCCGCACGAACTCGCCATTTTCATTTCTCACCACCATACCCCATGCCCTGGTACCTCTACTCATGTTTAAAGCAGCATCTACATTGATTTTGATCCAACCCGTCTCAGGCCAAACCCATTGTGAGGGCTCCTTTGCCAACACATTATAACTGCCCTGAAGCTTCAATTGAGCCTCGACCCAACCTTGGTACATACTTTCTGCACACTCCACAACGCTGCCCGCACCCCTTCTAACATTTTCCCAAGCAGCCTCATCTCTTCTCTTCCAGATGCTCCAAGCACCCCTTCTAACATTAACCATTTTGTTGATGACTGAAACGACAAAATCCGCACCGCACTATCAGGAAAAGGAGTTAAGCGTGCATTCCCCCTCTTCTTTCTAGCTCCAAATTTTTTATTCTGAACAGTTTTTCATTCTTCATTTTCAGATAATATGTGCCTTAACTAACTGGCTGGTTTAAAAAAAAAGACCACACAAAGAAGATAGAAAAATCACCTGTATCTCTTGTGTAAGATTTCTAGCACCAAAAAACTTCCTGGATATCTCGGCCTTTAGCACAAAGGAAAATGCAGTGCGAGCATCCATATTTCGGAATTTCTAGTGTAAGAAAGAATCCAATAGATTGAAGTAAATAATGAAGAAAAGTAAGCAGAGTAAAGCATACATTTCCTAGAGGATTGAATGCTATTCTTATCTTTATACCTTTGTGATAGTTGCATCATTAAGTTCATTAGAAATGGTGATGCTTGAAGTTGAGCCAGTAACTATTTTCAAACTGCGACACAAACAAAACCAGTGTATGCTTAGAGCAAAAAGTTTAAAGTCAAACTATTCTTAATCTTGTTTTTAAATAATAATGAAGATTCTTTTCACTTTTGGTCCCCCATTTATTATGTCATTTTAACTTATGGTCCCCAGCTTTCATTTCTTCCTCTTTTGGTATACGACTCTGAACTTGCTGCAATTTTTTGCCCTTACTTATCCGTCCAACTCTAACACAATTTTTGTGTCAGTGTTCAAAGGATAAGTGGCCGGAAGGACAAAAAATGGCAAGAAATAGATAGACATGCACTGAAAGTGGGAAAATGAAAATCAGAGAGCAAAAATAGGAATGACCTCATTGTCATAGCACCAAAAAATGAATATTTTCTAAAAGAAATGAATGGGAAAGATAATGAGAAGACCTTTGAACCAGGATTCCAAGGTATTTGAGGACAACAATGTGATGACCAGGACTATTCCACATGTCCTGAATATCAAACATCTAATAGAGAGAAGACAGAATAACTTAGGGAGACACAAGGTAGTTCCAATTGATACAACAAAACAGCAGAACTGCAGAACAATGTGATACCTGCATCTCCTCATGAAAGAATCTGCAATGGTGTCTCTTCACCATATATTCCTTTACTAATGCAACAGTATCATTACAGTTAAGTTCATCTTTCATTTTTAAAGAAGTGTTAAAATATCTTATCAAGTTTGTAATTTTCATGTTTGAATCTTCCAGAGCCTGCACTAGAGTGCTCACTTTGTCACGAGCCGCCTGTCATTTAAGAGACACAATTGAGCATGATCGATCACTCACTCTGAATCATAGGTACAGATGCAACTTACATGGCACAGACATGAAATCACACAAGATATTCAAAAGATTGGGATTTGCAACGTTTTCAACACTATTCTTATTTTTAATAATAGCAACATTACTAGTATCCCGTCATCATTGTTAAAGGTATTTAAGAACACACCCGATACTCAAAAAAAAAGTTATAGCACAAAATAGCCCATACAGATACCAAGCACAGGCAAAAATGAACAAAAGTCAGCAAAAGTTAACAGCCAAAATTACATTGATCACAAAAAGTTAATAGAATTGAACTTTATTTTTCAAACTTCTTCCCCAAAAGAACAGAAGGTATTGGAAACAAAGGCATTGTATGATATCTCACCAAAAGAGGGATCCTGAACTTTGCAATGTTTCCTCTCTTCATACAAGAGCATAAAAGCATGAAAGATAGCCTTGAAAATGAAAAAATATACAAGTTTAAGAAAAGGTTCATACTATACCTTTGTCATTTCCTTTCGATTAACAATAGACGTCTGCAAAGAAGCACCAAGTTGGTGACCTTTAGCAGATTTTGCAGATAGTAGAGGCAAAGAATTCAATTTCAAAGATATGCATTCTTGAACCCCAGAGCTAACAGAATGAAACTTTTCCTGCATTCAAATGGAAATGCCCAGTAAAAACTTATTCTTAACTATTAAGAAAAATAATAATCACAGGCAGTACCAGTAGTTTATCTTTCTTCAAGAGCATCAAGTGCAACTTTGCCTTCTCTTGTGCGACTCGACACATCAAAAATTTAACTTCAACGGCCCTGCTTCAGCGTTTATTCCGCGATTGAATGCAGGATTAGTTTAATCCAGAGACATTATGTCAATAGACTCAGTATGTCAGTATGTCACCCACGCATAACACAAAGTCAGAATGATAAATCACCTTTTCTCCCTAAGATTTTGATATGCAGAGTTTTTCTGGAAAGTACAGAGAAGTTTGCATCAATTACTAACATGACTTCTGATATTCTTAAAAATCATGCATTTGTTTATCCTTCACTTTATTTCTAGAAAGATTACACCATACATGCAGACCTGAGAGAGAAGTCCTTGCAAAAACAACTCATATTTTTTGGACTTGAGCATGCGACTTATGGAATCTTGTAACATTTCAATCTGCAACATAAAAAATAAAACAAAAATGGGATTATTTCACTAGGATCTGAAGCAATGCCAAAAGAGCATATCTTGAAGAGTGCATTAAATTTTAAGCTAGAACCAATGACAACAAAATACAACTATATAAACTATGAAGCATTCACAATAAATGCAGACAAGTTAACTGTGTCAAGAGTGAATTATGAAGCAAGTAATAAATTACCAATTAGCACAATATATTGTAAAGAAATCTGAGAGTATACCCCATATACAGTAAGTTTCTTTGTTTGCAAAGGTACCAATTTATTTGTGCTCTCCGTGAACTTTGACTTGACTTGCAAGGCATCTATGGAAACGCCCATACTCTTAACAACTAATTCTTCCTAAAAATAGAAACAATAAAATTTTAGCTGAGAAAAAAACATTAGGTAACCAGCTTACAATGAAACTACAAAATATCTAATATATTCTTCATGAATCTTGATTGTCGCTTCTATAACTAGCTCATGTTGCAAAATCCTGTCTCTTTTGTTACTGATATATGGATTGCATCGATTCAGAGGACAGAATTTAACAAAAGATTTCAAAAGACTGAATATAAAAAAAAAATCTGCATGGAAACACAAGTGACAGTAAAAGGAACATTTCAAGCAACATAGTGATCTAAAATCCTCTTCTCAGCGTACTATCTCACATAAATAGTGTTGATTTCACACTGAATATAAATATCCCTGCATGGAAACAAAACTAAGTGATAGTTATCAAAAACACTTGAAGAAACAAAAACAATCTAATATCTTCTTCTCAACATACTACCTTACAATGAAATTACAAGAGGAAAAAATAAAGGGATTAGTCAAACCTTTTTGAAAAAATTTAATCGCTACAGCATTTCAGACATCCACCATGACCTATTGTACGGTGCAAAAACAACACTGCCTAGATCTATAGTAGCAGTAATTTCAGTATATATATAGACACCCAAATATATCACTTTCTTTAGCACTGAAACAGCGTCTACAGACAACACTCTAGGGTCTAAAGAACAAAACTGATAGGGACTGTGGGAAGTTGGGGGAAAAGTGTGGCGTTAGTTATTCGAATTCCTACATAATTCTAGATTGTTGAACCAATAAGGATGTTTTTACTTGGACTGGAATTTTCTGGTATGTTCTGGTAAATGTCTGATCTCTGTGTATTTTATTAATGTCCAAGTCTGGTCTGGAACTGAAATCATGTGATTCGTATCTCTATTTTCTAATGATATACTACGTATGAATTACATCAACGCAAAAAACCAACAATATTATAAAATTGGTAATTTAAAATGAATGAATATCAAATGTCCCTTAACGGAAGCATAACTATGTAACTAACTGACTATTGTCAGGTTCTTACTTTACTTGACTCATTAGACAACGAAGGTCCGTAATCAACTGAAATGCAATCTGGATTACTGGATATAGAAACTGAGGAATTGTGGGTAGCCTGATAAATCCCTGAATCAGATGGCACATTATGAAAAAAAGCAGCCCCTGCTTGCTTACAGCTCTCATCAAAACCCTTTATGCCACTTGCATCCTCTTTTGATGCTAAATAGTCCAATTTCCAGTTTGTAGGTGATGTTGAAGCACTGATATTGTCTAATAATGATCTTATATGCACTTGATGTTGACCTCCTGGTAAAAGTGCATCCAAGTCAGGTGACAACCTACCATAATCATACTTTTTTGAATGTTCACCAATCAAACTCATATCACTTGAAATACTAGTTCCACTGGCCTTAGCAACGGAGAATGAAGAATTCAAAATTTGCTTCTTTGTTACAGTGAGCACCATAGAGTTCCCTTGAGTGGATGCTGGTGTGTTCTCTTCAGTTTTCTCTTCAGCAGAGAGATGAATGCCAGGAGGGGTCTTCAAGTCCGGTCCTGCCTCTGACCTAGCAAGGCTACGGGAATGCATGGAGATAGCTGTTGAATCCATAGTTTTTTCATGATTGTCATCTGAAATTGCTAAATCTGATAGTCGTCCCGGTCTGATAAAACTGGGTGATACAGGACCGAAAAAATGATCTTCTGAATTTAAAAGAAAAAATTAAAGTCAGCCGAAAGAATGCATGTAAGCAACTGACCAAAATTAATAAATATAAATTGAATCTGTCATTAACGGATCGCTACGAATTTACGATTCCAACTTTTACACCACAAACTTATACACCAAGAGGAGAAAAAACAAGAGGGATGTGCAGGTTCTATGCATTGAACATATCCATGCAATGGTCAGGTTGGTTTCTGCATTGTAGTTCCTTTGGAGAAAATAAGGATTACTGTGCCTATCGAACTGCAATGTTTAAAGGCATGTGCTATAATTACGGATATACATGGCAGTGATGGCACAATGTAAGAAAAAGAATAAATGCAAAGGGAAAATCAATAAAGAATGTGATGGAGTATATGGACCTAGACCCACATACGCAGACATTTATACCGGCCCAACTTACGAAGTTCACCCTCACCGAGGCCTCTCAACCACACGAGGGCCTGAACACTCAGAGATTCGAATCGCCTGATGCCTGCACAAGTTTCTATCTAAAGCCAACCAGATCACCCTCGGCCATGCACCCTTGGCCTCAGGAAGTACACTCCAACAACAGAGCAGAGACAGCAGTGCACTCTTCCATCCACATGAGGACAAGGAAACTATGCTCCTCGTTCACCACACGTCCACAAAAACAGACATCAGTGGCACTGTGTGCACTCCTTCCACACGCTGTAAGGTTTCACCCATAAAATATTTTACACATGTACTCGAATGCGCCTAGCATTTATTGCACTACAAATAGCCCCTCTTTGGGGCATTGGGCTAACTTAAGGGTTTTCAACTCATTTAATATCTGACATATTTCTCTATAAAAAAGGGAGACAAGGGTACGGCTCACCGTCGGCCTCATGCAAAAAGAAATATGTAATCCCTACAGAGCATTCATTCCAAGGCCTTACATGAGTCACCCTGTACACTAAGTCAGGAACTTAAACTCAGCTTTCAAGCTTGGGGATGACTTATGAAAGAAATCACCTTAGGCTGCAACCCAGGGCCTGGATTGCAAGCATGGGTCTGAAAACCTCCGGCATTTAAAACTTCATATTTTTTAAAAAATTAATAAATGCGTGTCATATTGATCATAAAAAATTATGAATTTTGATATATTTTTGTAAAAATTGGGCACAAATACAAAAGTTATACGAGTAACACTTTTCAAAAAGAGTTTTTTTGCATGCTGCGTCTTTTTCTTCCAGCGTTCGTCTTCCAACAAGGCAACAAGGGTGAGTGGGCTGCCAAACCCCCCACCTTGGATGCCATAGAACCACTTTGGCACCTCCCAAGTTGCACCATTTTTTGGGTGAAAAGTTCAAAAATGGTTTTTAGGATTGCGGTCAACGTTAGAGAACCTGTCAGTGACTCGCCCATATCCTGGAGATGAGGGGCAGTCTTCCCGCTAAGACATGGACAAGTCTGGGCCGCAGACTATTGTTAGACCTTCCTGCCTAGGGGCTAGGTATGGGTATTCGGACTATAGTGAGATATTACTCTCTTTCTAGCTATGTCGTTTTCTCACTAGAATTCGGACTCCATACTCCATTTTCACAAACAACAATGCTCTAACTAGGATAACTTGAAGAAAAAAATACATTTCCAAGAAATTAGGAAGAGTGCGTGAGCTAACCATTGATCGATGTAGCAGAGCCCAATGTAGGGGAAGATGATTCCATAGGCATTAAGGACGATGTCCTCATTGTAGTCTCTCCTTCTTCATCATCATCACTCACATTCCCATCTTCTCCATTATCGAAAGTTTTCGAATTGTCCAATTGATGGAAATTCAGCTCGTTCACTTCAAATCCATTTCTATCCCCCGCCTTAGAGCTAGATTCTGAAGGAATCTCATCCTCGTCGCGGTCGAAGAAGTGGACGGAAGCCGTCTCGGCGAAGCTCACTCTCCGTGCCTTCTTCTTCTGCATCGTCACATCGCTGGCGGTCAGTTGGCGGTCATCGTCGCCGGTGGCTCTTTTTTTGGAAGACATGGTGATACTGGGGGAATTGGACCGATAGAGGAAGTTATTATGAGCACAAATGCTAGAGTACCCAAAATGTACTCCATTTTTTCCCTCACCCCCTAATATGTGGCCATAAATGGGGCAATTCATTTAAGTGGGACAACACTTAAATGAATTGGTCCATTTATGGCCACAAATTAGGTGTTGGGGTAAAAATGGGGTACATTTTGGGGTACTCCTGGCAAAACTCTATTATGAATGTACGAGTAAAATTTAGGGGTTGTGATAAAGAAGGTAAGATGGAGTAAATGTCAAGTTTCTTTTCTTCCTTTCACACAAAAATATGGAGCAGTAAAATACCCCCTCTTTTAAATTCTTTGATAAATTTTTCAAAATGAATGGCGCACATCATTATTTCAATAGGAGAATTCCTCTGTTTTTTGAAATTTCAAAATAGGACAATCATGTTTTTTATTCTTTGAATATGAATAAATTTCTGCCAAGTTTGACATTACTAGACTTTAAAACATTACATTTTTTTTCCAAACTTGACAGATTACTCCTATTCAGGGAATAAAAAAACATGATACTCCTATTTTGGAATTTCAAAACGTTTTTGCTCCTATTTAGAGCAATTTCTATTCTTTAATTGGTAACACATCTATGTAAATGCACTACAAAAAAGTGCAAGACAATATCAAATAGTGTCAAAATAGTGTACTATGCAGTAAAATTTATCCCTTGATAATTTTTTTCTTAATCTTTGCGAATTCAACGTTTCTCAAACATTTTGAAATGGAGGGAGTATGAAAAAATGACGTTAATATTAGTAATAGAGTTTTCTCGAATAAAAATATGATTAATTATACTTTTAGATAAAAATATGACTGATTAGTCACTGTTTACAGAGTAATTAGACGAGAATCACTATAGTGTATTTTTAAACAATAAACCACTAGTAGATAATGAGTCATTGAAAATTAATCGTTGAACATGTCACTTTTTTGAAATAACATAAAATATGGAGTAAATCATATTTTGTCTTTTGAATTTATTTTAGTTATATGCATGGGGAAAGGCCCAAAAATATTCCGTATATGTCAATGACTTTTAAACTACGAATTATGTGACGAAATAAGAAAAGAAAAATTGCATAATTGAAATTTACGAGAGATAAGTAAATAAAACTACAAATTAATTACTTCAAATGTAAAGTAGCAAAAATTTTTAAACATTGAAAGAAAAGTTAATAAAATCGCATATGACAGAAGAATTGCATAATAAAATAGAGAAATTTTATAGAACACGCCAGCCACGTGCTCAATAAAGTGCACATAAGTTCAAATAAAAGAACATAAAATTAAAATTAAAAAGAATTAGAATAAGAGGAGTTCCGTTCCCTAAAATCAAAGAAAAACAAAAACAACTAAAATGAAATCTCAGAGTTCCCTCCTCACTTGGGAACACGACAGAACCGGTGTACCCATACGAGTATGCAGAAACGCAGATTCGGGGAAACAGACACGGAGACACGACAAAATAAAAAAAAATAGGATACACATACGGGTTAAATTTATAAATATTAAAAGTTATGAGATGTATTTATAAATATTAAAAGTTATAGGGGTGTATTTATAAATATTAAAATACATTTTTTTAAAAATATATACATGTATTATCCTTTGACGTCTACGACCCAAATCGGAAGTGTACCTCACTCAAATAATTGCCCCAAAATGACCATTTCATGCAATTTTTAACACATTTTTCCAACAATCCCCCACATGAATGAAAATTGATTTTCGAGACTTAAAAAGACACGAAGATAGGAGGACACGTTGTGTTCACCGGATGATCCTTGCATAAGGAGACGTAGGTTTTATCCTTTGAACCTTCCGTTGTAAAGACACGTTTATTTACTGGTTGTCTAGTAGACTCGATGTCCTTGAACTATACTGTCGTCGTGTAAACATTGACTTATCTTTACTCAAGAACCTTCCAACTTTGTTCCGTTCTCATGGGTGTGCCCGTTTTGGCCATGGGTCACCGTCCTGGTTCTGCAAGAGTTTCTAAAGAGCTGAGCCTTTACAGTTCTCCTTTGAAGCGGTCCTCTTCTCTCTCACATAGGTGATTCTTTCACGAGTATCCCGCATACTCTTCCGATGTTATCGAGTAGATCAACATTTTAGAATCATTAAAGCAAACGTTTTTGCTAACCTCGTGCGGGAGTCACTGTTTTAAACGAGGATTGGGTAGGAGTCCGGGACCCCCACAGTGACCATCCTTCGCTCTATAATTTAGTTGTCCCTTTTGAACCTAGGACCAACTAGGTTGGGTATCTACTATAGAACTTTTCAATTCACGGGCTTTAGTCCCATTCCTCGTGACAACTTCTCCAACAATTCTCTATCCAATGTCTTGGTTAGCGGATCCGCTATGTTATCCTTTGACTTCACGTAGTCAACAGTGATAACACCCGTTGTGAATAGTTGTTTAATGGTGTTATGTCTACGACGAATGTGTCTAGACTTACCATTGTACATATTGCTCTGTACCCTTCCAATTGCCGTTTGACAATCGCAATGTATGCATATTGGAGGGACAGGCTTTTCCCAACTCGGAATATCCTTGAGAAAATGGCGTAGCCATTCAGCCTCTTCAGTGCAATTATCCAAGGCTATTAGCTCATACTCCATCGTGGATCTAGCTATTAACGTTTGTTTTGAGGATTTCCATGACACGACTGCACCTCCCAAAGTGAAAACATATCCACTTGTGGACTTTGAGTCCTTAATGTCAGATATCCAACTAGCATCGCTATACCCTTCAAGTACACCTGGATATCTTCCATAGTGCAGTCCAAGGTTTTGGGTTTTCCGTAAATACCTCAAAACCCTTACTATTGCCTTCCAGTGTTCATCACCGGGGTTGCTAGTATATCTACAAAGCTTACTAACCGCAAAGGCAATATCAGGCCCGGTACAACTCATTACATACATTAAACTGCCAATAATCCTAGCGTATTCTACTTGAGAAATACACTCTCCACGATTTTTGGTCAGGTGTACATTTTTATCTAATCGCGTCCTTGCCTCCTGATAATCATCCTTATTAAATTTAGTAAGGATTTTATCAACGTAATGGGATTGGCTTAGCGTTAGACCGTCAGGTCCTCTAATTATTTTAACCCCAAGGATTAAACCAGCCAGCCCCATATCCTTCATGTCAAACTTAGAATTTAACATGCTTTTGGTAGAATTAATCATTAGATTATTGCTACCCACGATGAGTATATCATCCACGTATAAACACAAAATGACATAGCCGTCTACCGTGCTCTTCACATAGACGCATTTGTCACTTTCGTTTATTTTAAACCCATTAATTAACATTGCATAGTCGAACTTTTCGTGCCACTGTTTCAGGGCTTGTTTCAATCCATACAATGATTTAATTAATTTACACACTTTCCTTTGTTGGCCTGGAACACGAAAGCCTTCGGACTGTTCCATATAGATTTCTTCGTCTATATCACCATTTAGAAAAGCGGTTTTTACGTCCATTTGATGAACTTCCAATTTCCGCAATGCGGCAATTGCTAGTATCATCCTAATAGAATTTATTCTCGTCACAGGAGAATACGTGTCAAAGTAATCATGACCCTCACGTTGCTTGTATCCTTTGATTACAAGTCTGGCCTTATACTTATCAATGGAACCGTCCGGTTTCATTTTCCGTTTAAAAATCCACTTGGATCCCAAAGGTTTATTTCCCGGAGGAAGATCAATCAATTCCCATGTCGTAGGAATTAATAAAATTACCGTGTGAGCGGAATTAATTTAAGATAGTGTAATCAACTAAGTCGTGGGAACGATTAGAAGATTACCATTTGTAAATCTTTCACACACCTAAAAGTAACTAAGTTAATTAGTTAAATCTTTATTACTATGAACATCAAAATAAAATTACTCTTAGCCCAAGCCTAATTTTCTCTATCATTAATTGTTAAATTATCAAGTATTGTGATTTATTTTACTCCCTAACAATTTCGCATTTATAAAAACAATATAAAAAAATCCGATCACTCAACTCCATTGCAAAATGTGAGCCATTCTCTAGCGGAACGATACTCACTTACTCTATATTATATCGTTACAAGCCAATTAAAACATCATTTCCATTCACATTTTTACACCATTTCACACTACATATTTTGGCATGTCACGATTTTGGCGCCGTTGTCGGGGAATGGCATAATGTTATTGATTGATTATTAGTTAATATTAGTGTTTTTTATTATTTATCTGGAGACTAAGTATTTTTTTTTACCTGTTCTCATCACTTTTGTAAACAAAAAAAAACAAACAAAAAAACATTTTTCGTGCACTAAAAAAACTCTTAAAAAAGTGTATGCATACTCGCTCTCAAGGGAGTGAAGGATTGCAATCACTTAACCTTGATTTTGAAAAAGAATTAAGGAAAAGAAGAAAAGCACGAACCCTTGAACTTAAAATTCCAGATCAAATCGTGGAGGATTTTCAAAACAATCCCAATAATCCAAATGGCCAAAACCTAATTCTTAATCCAAATCTTACGCCACCACAAAATACACCTATTGATACTCCTTGAGATAGACACAATCCTTTCTTTGGAGATCAAAGACCACCAGGATTTGAAAATTTCCAACAAATTCCTCCCCAAACACAACCCAACCTCTATCCACCACATCCCTACCAAAACTGCCAAAATCAACCTCCTCCACCATATCCATACACATACCCTTATCCTTACCCACCACATCCATTTATGCACGCATACCAACCTCACCCATATGGCCAATACTACCAACACCCACATAATCAACAAGATCAAGGGCAATTCATGAGACAATAGCAGCAAGGGAGAAGACTTCTTGATTATGTTGCAGGTGAAATTGAGGAACAAGTCAGTATTCTCTATCCAGGCGTGGATGCAGCAAATTTTGAGATCAAATTAGCACTTATCTCATTGGTCTCAACAAACAAATTTGGCGGATCAAAGAATGAAGATCCCACGAGCCACGTGAAGCAATTCTTGAGAGTTCTCCAA